AGAGTGAAGAGTGAGGAAGGCAGCCATGGCTATGGTGGACCTCAAGTGATACCTGCAGTAGAAGAGGGATTCGGGCATTGGTTCTGGTTCAGCCATTCAACATTGTACTATTATTTCTTGTGTGAATAAGAGAGGAGGAGTAAAGGAGGAGGAGAGTGTTTGGCGAAGAAGAGGAGCTTTATCATTTGTCTGTGCTGGTGTACATCATCTTCTTCTTCTTTCTTTCTTCTTCTTCTTCTTCTTCTTACCCTCTCGCTCCTCTCAAGTTCATTCATTTTTTTCTGCAATTGGACGACATTGTACTATCTGATGAATGTGTACTTTGAAATTGGCCAGGATCATAACATGTGTGTGTGTGTGTAAACCAGGCAGCTCTGTTTGATGATATATACCTCGACTTCGATAGCTCCCTGCTATGGTTTTCTCCAGTCAGGTTGAACATTAGTGGTTGGGGCTGTCACTAGGAGGCCACGCTGTACCTGTTGTGCCCGCAGCTTGTCCGGATTGTATTTCAGGGTGTGGCAGATTTACCTTTCTTTCATGGGTGTTTTGCTGGGTTGTGATGAGGTGTGAACTCCGTCTGGTATAGGTGAGTGTCACTGAGTGAGTCTGCTTTGATTTTCATCACTGGTACCTTGAGGGCAGTGGTTGGTGCCCATCTCAAGAATTTTGGCAGTTGTTGATGCTTAACCGCAACTGGGGTTAAGGTGGATTATCACTTTCAGTATCATCAGTTGGGGGATTCTGCAGACTGTAGAGGGTTCAGCCTCCTGATGAGTCGGTGAAACTCGATGGAACAGTCTGTCACAGTCCCTCATCTGTTGTCCTCTTCTCCCTCTCTGACTACGGTTTACTGGGAACGTCTGTTTGACGATATGTACACATACATATAAAGACATAGACATAGATATAGTCACAAAGAACTGGTCGGTGAACCATAGGCATATGGAAAGAAAAGGGCAAGAAACCAGAGGCTGTGAGAGACTGTTGCGTCGGAGTTTCATCTACTCATCAGGAGGCTGAACCCTCTACAGTCTACAGACTGCAAGTGGTAATCCACCTTAACCCCGGTTGCTGTTAAGCATCAACGTCTGCCCAGCAACTGATACCCTTAGGTGGGCACCAACTACTTCCCTCAAGGGTACCTGTGACCAAAAAAATTCAAAGCAGACTATCATTCCCTCGTAGTACCAGGTTGTCTGCAGAAAGCCAGTATGATGATGGCAGGGGCGGCTGCTGTATACCACCATTGCGACTCTTTCAAACCTCTTCAAAGGGCATTAGCCCCTAACATCATTGTATCACATCTTTTTTTTTTTTTTTTTCTTTTTTTAAATGGTCCTGGCTTCATGTCCATTCTGGGGACCATCAGTCTCATTCCTTTTCCCCTCACAAGTTATTTATTACATCACTGACACGCTCAGATTTCCTTCCGTTTGGCCAAAGGACCCCTGACCAGCATTGATTTCTCCCTGTACCGGGATGATTAACTGTCAGCTTGTCTTCTCATGAATCTGACCCAGGTTTGAACATTGAACCTGCCAATTATAACTTCTTTTTTTTTTTTTTTTGCAAAGTTAAGTTATTGAACCTTTTTTTTGTCCCTTTTCTGATCAAAAGCAAAGCCCCTACCATACTGGGGGGCATCAGTCCAGTTGCTTATCACCGGCAAGAATGAGTTTGAGCAAGAGAACCAGTTGTAGAAAAGGGGTCAGCCATACCCTTGCGGTCCTAGTCGCCAGTCAAGGGGGGGACTGCTACGACTGATCCCACCTCCCATACCATGGCCTCCCTGGGGTATACTTCTACTGGCCCAGAAGCTTCCTAGCAGCACCCAGTCATGCAGTCAAAGTGTCCCGGGGGGATCTAGGCTTCGGGGGAGGTCCTTCCTAGCAGTCTCTAAGGCCACTTATGTCCCATCCTCTTCCTGTCTGCAACAATCCGAAGTAAAATCCTTCTATGACTCTAATGACCTAACTCATGCTGTACCCGTGCTACCCCTATAGTACTTCCCTTCCCTTCCCCCCCTCTTAGGAGACGTCCTTCACCCCTTCCTTGCCGCCTGATCCACAACAAGAATCCTGAGATAGACTTTGAAAAGACTGGTTAAAAAAAAAAAAAAAAAAAAAAAAAAAAAACTCATTTGCGGTAGAATGCAGAGCTGGTTAATAGAAACCTAATTTTTCAGGAT